AGAAAAACTCAAAAATAAACACACAATAACACGGATCTTGACAACAAGATGGTCAGTTGATTCTTAAATGTTAAGACAAGAAATGCACCCTGTCCTGACCCAGCTGAACACTTTTGATCCCAACTGACAATCACTAACACGTGATAAGACTAGCTCAGCATGCACAGAAGTGAAGAAAGGAGATCCAAGAAAGCTGTAGGAATGCTGATTAATGCTTTAAATCTCTGGCTTTGCAGCAAAATGTGTTGAAAACACAAACTATTCAGAGGTCACACGCCCTAAAAAATGTGAAACATGGCAGTTGTTCACATTGTGTTAATATTTCACTTCAAGTTAGCGCATTAAAAATGTGTTTGTTGTGTTTAATTAATTAATTCTAGTAAAGATAACATGATTTTGTCACATGTTAACCTAAAGAAATAATTTCGATTTGTGTGAACACAACAAAATTTAGTTAAGTGAATTAGCACACCGATACCTCTCTTGGCCATAAGGGGGCAGTAATGTAACAATAAAACTGTACGAAAAGAAAAAACAGTTTAAACCGGATCAGTCTGGCTGTTCATCCAAAGACTACAGTGTGGGTCGTAAAACACCGTAAAAAGGAATCCAGTGATTTTCAAAGCACAAAGGCATAAGCATAAAGTGATAAACTGCATACCCTAAATGCACTTTGGTTCCTCACATCAGACAGATTGCATAAAAAGAAATTAGATTTGTTTTTTCTTTCGTTGTCGTTCATGCTACTGAATGTTTGTATGTTTATTTGGACCAGGAGACCAGTTAATATGATGCGCTTCAGTCGCAAAGGCTGCTTTTCTAACTTTTTCATAATCATCATTTTCAGCCACTGTTTACCTCCAGGTTCACCACTTCTGGCTTCATCTCATGCAGCTTTATGATGCAGGTTTTGCGTCAATTACGTAAAGGTTGGGTAAAATTCGACGTGGCCTTTCTGACTTTTAAAACTATATGATGCATTTAGATTTAGTACCCCATATGGACTTGGCACAAATCCAACTTTTTGGGGGCGGTGAAAAGAATTGGGTCAGTCTGCCGTGGAAAAAGTTGGATATGGGTCCAAAAAGAATCGGATTTGGGTTGAGTTGCCTGCTGTGTGAACATTGCCTTTGTTTCTGATTTTTAAATTAATGTGAGAAAATATTCCCAATGCTCCTCATTAGTGAAGGTGTTTAACATTAAATGAACTGCCTCACATCCAGTCTGTGGATAAAATCCATACATGCATCTGAACGTTCAGGAAAGCATTCAGCCTGGATGTGTGTGTGGATCTGTGTTCTCTCAGCATATATAGAGTCAGGACCAGTGTGTGTGTGGGCTATGTGATGTTCCCTCACCGTGTGAATTACCCTGCAGTGTAAAAGGCCACTCTTCATGCTGAGGCAGAGCTCTGATGAACTGTGGCGAAAAATAATGTAAAACTGCGTCCATCCAAACGCTCATTACTCACACAGATTCCAGCGGCCTTTGCCTTCACCTCTCAGCCCATTTTCTACATCCTACCAGCACTTATAACCCTCAGCTCTGGCTCGTCCGCTCTCCTCCTCATCCATCTCATCTGGCTGAAGACTCTCCGACTTCTGCTCTCCTGAAGAAGAGCAGCACTTATCTATTAAAAAGACATTCGTTTGATTTACATGCTAAAGGTTTTATATCTTTGCACCACAAAAATATGACGGTGAATCATAATGAAGGTGCCTCTATCCATTCTTTAATTTGTCTTCTGACACTTGCCTGTCCTACAGAGGGCCGTTGGTTAACATCATAACCAGAGCTCTCAGACCTATGAGGAGTCAGAAATCCACATCACACATCTCAGCCCCTTCAAGATGTTACAATGTTTTTTTTGTGATTGTTGCAGCCCAAAATTGCTTATTTTTCTGGCATCTTTTTCCCTTAAAACTTGAAAAGAAATTCAAATTTTTTTTCACATTTTTGTGCCTCCATTGTTATCACAATTGGTTCAAAGCTCTTTTAAATAATCACAATCCAGCTGTTTTTAGCAATGACTTAAAAGTTTTTTGATGTCTGGAAATTGTTAAGTCACGATCAACTGCCACGACTCGTTACCTAGCAACCCCAGCCTGTTACCTAGCAACCCAAACTTGAGCTCCAGCACATTTGGAAAGCTGGTTGCAGTATGCGTTGTACAATGGCTGCTGTTGTTGACTGACTGTCCAGAAACCACTTGCGAAATTCTTATTGGTTGTGCAGGAGGCTCCACTAACACTTTTCAATATGGGTGAATAACTGCACATCTGTTTGCAGCCATTTTCACGTGTGACTGTAAGCTTTGAGTTGGGGGGGGCGTGGCCAGCAGCAGATTATTTGGAACTCAAAATAGACCTGAGCTCACTGAAATCTCATTGTCTAAGAATGACTTTGTGCAAAAAAATGTAATAAATGTATTTTGCACAGCCTATAGGCCAATCCTAACCTGTTCAAGGAAGCAAAATAATAGGTCATATAAAGGTCAAATGAAGTTTTATTTATGTCTTACAAAAAAGTTTAAATTGTTACACATAAACTTCACAAAAAGACAAGATTTTAACCATTAAAAAGTACCTTCTTGAAATAGTATCCTTAATACTTTTTGTAATGTTGATGAGACACATTATAGACATTAATTACATCCAGATTGGTGTTATAAATTGGGAGTTACTCATCCTTTCACGGGGAATAAGTTTGTTAATCAGCTTGTTAAATGTGTTTGTTTTGCTACTTCCTGGGTCCTTTGTAAGCAGAAGAGGTGAAACTCATTTGTTCCACACAAAGATTTTCACTGTGCTAAAAAATAATGACATGCTGGCATCTCTCATTGTACAGCTTACATTTGGTTGAATCATTACAAGTGGCACTGACAGAATTTTTCCTGCTACCTCAACTTATGAAAAATCCTGTTTGCTGCCGTTACTGTAAATTTAATTAGCTATGACACAAGCCAACCGCTAGGGGAGCTGCAGCTCCAGAAGTCAAAGCTGTTTTTTCCCCCGATGAACTTTTTAAAAAAGATCAAAAGAAAAATAATAATACTGTTTTTCAAAAAGAAATATGAGCTAGATATTTCTAGCTCATATATGCACTATTAATGCATATATTATGCATTAATAGTATAAAAAGAAAAAAATATATACATGAAACGTTCATAGACACACTATACATATTCATGAAAACTGATTGTATTAGGGTCAATAATGCAGCTTTAAATTGCTCAAAGGAAGAATAAAAAACAATAGAATATTTTAAGAATATTTTATCTTTAAATGTAATGCGTATTTCTAATAATTTATTAATATTATGAGAAATAATTCTAAGAAAAAAATATGGGCTACATTATGGATTAAGAGGAAAAAAGGGAAAATTATCAGGTTAAACATCTTTATTTAAAAATTAAATTGTACAATACTATACATTTTTAAAATATCTTATGTTTTATTAAATTTTGAAATGTATATATAATTTATTTGTTAACAGTGATTTCAGATTGCTCATGCAGTGAGTTAAACTACAAAAATATTTACAGAATACAGAATATTTTCAAACCCAATATTTTTAAAATATTTTTTCAGTATTACATAATACTATAATTTGATTTACATTATACATATTTGTATGTATAATATTTTAAATAAGTGTTAAATACCATATATTGACATAACATCATATTAAAATATGAAATTATATATTTGTGACTTTATTACTTGAAATTAAATTTCTAAAAAATATATTCTACAATAATATATTCTTAAAAACGTTTTGTTATACACATGTATAACAGTTTTTTTTATTATTATTTGTATATTCCAAATACTTTTTGTAATTTCAAGTGGGTTTCAGGACTCAGAGGCTGTAAATGTAACCTGCTGAGGAAGCTGCTGTTTGCTAATTATGAGCGAATAAACACCGATAAGTTCTGCATCGCTGCTGAAAGTCTCGCAGAAATTCTCTGGCTTCACTTTGTTTCTCTGCTGCACACAGAGAAAAGCCTGATTAGCCTCATTCCTGCTCACATCAGCTCCGTTTTCTCTATTTTTCACCATCAGTCGTCTTGTTGTTCTGCAGACAGAGACAGATAAAGAAAGAGAGAGAGAGAGAGAGAGAGAGAGAGAGAGAGAGAGAGAGAGGAGGGCGTTTGAGCTGCGCCGCGGCTTCAGAGGAGGAGAGATGTTTATTCAGCTGCTGAAAGAAGGAGAGGATGAACACGCACAGAGGAACCTCTCGGTGAATCAATGAACGGAACCAGTCCTGGGCTCATTCTACTACACTGAACCGGTGAGCAAACGCAAAAAAACCCCGCGCATGTTTCTCCTTGTTTATGCTGTTAAATGAATATTTGGCCACACTTGATGGTGTGCGGATGCGTAAATAAGGAAGAAGAGCGTCATGTGAGAGGGAGCTGCCTGAGTGAGGGTAGCGCTGCCCTCAGGTGTGCATGCGGCGCCGCAGAGCCCTGCCCGGTCCGCGGAAACGCCTTCATTATGGCTCCAATTAAGCGCAAAACCGGTGCGCCTTGTTTTTGGAGACAACGCAATCGTGCGTAAGGCGATTTTCCTTTTGATCCCGCACGGCAGGAGTGAACAAGGACCGAGCATTTCACGGAGGGATGACTGGGGTCAGGAGCGGGGAGCGCACCGAAGAGGAACCATGAACTCAGGCTGCTTAGGTGTTTTTATAAAAAAAAATGTAAATATTCTTTAATGATTTTATAAACAATGCGAGGCAAAGCTTTTCACATCCCCTGAAATATGTTCACATTTTGTGACGTCAGTGTTGTTTATTGACATTTCATGACAGGCCAACACAAAGTAAAATTATGAAATGAAAGGAAATCATCAGGGTTTCTCTTTGTTTTGTTTTTTTGAAAATAAGATTAAATGCAGCTACTGTGTGCAGTTTAGTGACACAAATCACATTTTTTCTGTGTCTGGTAAACAAGTGCATTACAAATGGTAATTGTTTTTCAAGAGCAGTATTCCTGTGAAGCTAACAGTAATTAGCTGCAGTACCATGCATTCACAGCCATAGAGTTACATAAAAAATAAGTAATTATCGTCACTTTTATTGTTATCACAACGCTGCCTCAAAATATTGTGATGTAACTTTACTTCCCCACCATGTCTGGAGATTTTTGCCCATTCTTCTTTACCATACAGCAAAATGTCAGTAATGTCGGACAGAAAGCGTTTGTGAGCATCAGTTTTCAAGTCTTCCAATAGATTTAGGTCTGGACTTTGACTAGACCAGTGTTTTTCAACACTGTGTGGGCTGTCAGTTGGTTCTCTGTGGGCAAAAATACAAGAGAAATCAGCATAATAATTTGAAATCAGATATTTTTATTACACTTCTTTGTAAATCTAATGTTTTTCAATCATCATAAAGTATGATTTCTTGCTCAAGAACATCCCCGCAGCAAGATGGTGCCACCACCATGTTTTACTGCACTGACGGAGTGTTTATTTGGTCTTGGCTGCTTCTTTGATCAATGCTCTCCTGATGCAGGGTGTTAGTTTAGGTTAATAGCCATAATTGGTCGGTTTGCAGGTCTGCATAGCAAAAAGCCCAGTGTTGATTGAACAGAGCTCTGAGATGTTCAAAGCTTTGAAACTTGTTTTACACCCCAACTCAGTTTTAACTGTCTCTCTGACTTGTCTGCGCTTCATGAAGCTGTTTGCTCACTAATATTCTCTGAGGATAATCAGGAAAACTCTGAATGCGATTAGTGGCAGTGGATTTCATTTAGGGGCATCAGGGAAAAAGGGGGTGGAGACAAATGAAAGCCAGCCATTTTGGATGTTATTTCTTCAAAAGGCTGGAACTTTGACATCGTATATTACTTTGTGTTGGTCTACCACCAAAACAAACAAATCTGTGAAAGTTTTTGGTGTGATAAAATGTCAAAAAGTTCAAGAGGTAGGAAAACGTTTGCAAAGCCCTGAAGGCATGAGGCAGGTACCAGTATCAGCTTACAGGCACAGCTTTCTTCTGCCCTGCCCCCACCTATTACTGCCCTGCTGTTCATCTTTTCCATTAGTTCGCTCCACTTCATTATTCCACTTTTTACGATTTGAGTCATTTTGTATTACCATGGAGATCCACCTCAGTGGTAAACCACTGCCTACAGCTCTGTCTGTATTTTATCACAAGGCCTAAAAATGTCTCCACCTTCTCACTGATCTATTGTTTTCAGATTACTGCTGGTGGTTTTCTTAAAATGGTGGTTTGATTCTTGTACCAGATTCACTCAACATCTGACCAATGAGAGAGTTTTGTTATGTTGCATTTTCACCACGACTCGGTTTGATGGAATACATACAAATAAATAAGTTAGTACCAGTAAATGTTCACATGACAAAATTTTAAAATTGGTTTTCAGCACCTGGCAGACAACACACGACAATAAAGCAGATATTTAACAGGTTTGGTCCTGCAGTGTTTGGTGTTCAGCACACCACCGACACGTTTAACTCACAAACATTCAGATGTCAGACGGGAAAACATGAATTCAGAGTAAACAAACATGGACGACAAGGAAGAAGTATTGGCGAAAGTTTGTGGAGTTTAACAGAGAAAAGGCGATATAAAGAGATCGCCAACCTTCACCAGACTTTCTGGTTTTGTTTTCTGTGTTTTGGGAATCCAGCGAGGTAGCTGTGTTTCTGCTACCTCGCTTTCTGATTGGCCACCTGTCACATTCAATAGGCCGTGTTAGAAACATGCTGCGACATCTCACCAAGACAATCCAACATGTTGGATATTCCAGATTTTAGACAAGAGCAGTTCCTTACCACACATGTGTGACCGGTGGACTTCTGTGTTGTGTGATCAGACAAACCAAATGACACCAAGTCTGGATTTGGAGGTGGTCTCTGTTTCTTTAACCCGACAATCGGGAGATGTTAGCGTTAGCACATAGCATGTGCTTCAGTTCTCCAGTCCAATCTATGCAAAATAATAGTGTTAGCATCGTGGTCTTAACAAAACCAAGTATTTAGGCTCATCTGATGTTATAAAGGTGTAATAACAACTCCAGTGAAAATATTCGAACACCTATCATTAATACAGAAAGGAAAAATAAACATTTTTACAAAATAACCTAATATTTATAATAGTCCTGGAGAACCCTGGACAAAAGAAGAAGAAAGTGAGCAGGAGGACCAAAGCCCTTATGACGGGAACAGAGGAATAATCAGGTATAAACAGACAAATGCATTACATAACACATTTTGTGTAAATACACAGCTATTAATTCAGATCCACTTACACATGAATAGTAAGAATATTAGGATTATCATGATAATCAGAGAAGCTTTAAGATTGGTGGAAAGGGGAAATCGGGTCAAAACAATTGGCATAATTATCTTACAGGCTTAATTGAAATCCCTCCAAACTGAGTCAAGCCAAGCAGAGTAGAGAGGAAGAGGGTCTCTTGCTTTCAAGAACAGCACATTTACGTGTTTTAAAATATTTCCTGTCATGACAAACACAAAGGTACTCAGTGTTTCCACTCAGGTGTATTTGACTGAGTGCGCTGCCGGTTGGATGTGTTCATATTTATGGTGATTTTGATGGCAAAAGCTGAGCGGTTGGACACATTTTGAGAACACATGGCCACGTTATGGTGATGAATCACGAGTGATTGTTCAGCCAAGACTAGATGATAATAGAAATTTGGATGATGTCAGTTTATGCGTGATGATGATTACCGGAACTTTCTCCAGCTATTATCAATTATTAACCTCCAAAAATATGTCACTAATTTAATAATTCAGGGACCCAATCTGTCTTGGCGAATGTGGGCTACGGATGAATTTGCATATTTAAAATAATAATGGCAGCCTCCATCAACCGCGATAAGCCTTTGTTTTCCACAGCTTTGGTTCTGCCGAGCCTGCTGTTCTTATGAGCAGGATTTTACTGACCACAGCTGTGAATGCGGGCAACACCTGCAAGGTTTTAGAGAAGGCTGAACGGAGTGAGTTCAAATTAATTTTTATTGGTATTAGTCCACTGGGTGCAGAATCACTGACTAAAAACCTCATGTATTTATCTATACATCCATATTTTGCTGGAAACATCATCATTAAAGGGGACCCATTATAAAAAAAAAAAAATTAATTTTGCATGTTTTTTGTTTTTTTTTCTTCATTTGGGTTTTTACTGCTTCTAAAAACAGCCCAAGCACTTAAAAAAACACCCAGTCATATTTTGGAAATAAGTTAATGTTCTTTTGGTGTTTCAAGAACCTCCGGATTGTTGAGTCACAATAGTCGGGTCTTATGCCGTTACCTAGCAACGCCAGTGGAGTTCCAGCAAGTTTGTTCAGCTGGTTTTGTCGCTGTATGTGATGTACAATGGCTGCTGGAAAAGACAAATGTTTTGTTGTTGACTTACCACCCAGAAACCACTTGCTGCATTTTTGTTGGTTGTGCAGTAGGCTCCACTTCTGCTTTCCAAAGGCATACGGTTGTATAATTGCCTGTATGTTTGCAGATATTTTCAGGTGTGAGTGTAAACGTTGAGTTGGGGGCGTGGCCAGCAGGACATTATTTGGTTTTAAAGTGGCAAGAGGCTCTAAAACAGCTCACTCTGAAAGAAACTCTGAATCTCATTATCTAAGAAGAATTTTGTGCAAAAAATGTTATGACCATGTTTTGTATCGCCAATAGGCGTATCCTAACCTGCTCAGGGAAGCACAATAGGTCACCTTTAATATATATCCTAACTGTCATAGTTGCCCCTCTGCGTTTTCCTGTGTATTTTCTGTGTACAATCAACACCCAGAGACTCTGTCTACCTCTGTATTGTGCCGAAAATAAACACAACACTGTCTTCTGCGTTCCCTGCTTGTTTGCACGCTCTTTGCCTTGCGACTGTATCCGCGGCTAATCCATTAAGTCCTCCAGCAACACGCCAGCTTCCCTGCTGCTGGAGGTGGTAACCCACAACCCGGCCCGCTATTCTGGTCCTGGATAATCTGGTTATGTGTTTTGCTGGCTCCAGCCGTCGCTTGTTACTAGTTACTGAGGGCTGCGTCTGCTGAAAGCGACAGGAAATACCTGGCCTGTAATCCTCTCTCCTCTGTGTGGCACTGTGTGTGTGTGTGTGTGTGTGTGTGTGTGTGTGTGTGTGTG